AGATTTACAGCCTTAGAAACCCTGTACAGGGTCGCTATGAGTCGGAACCAACTCCACAGCACATAACAACAACAACAACTATGCTCTTTAAAAAAAAAAAAAATCATCTATATGAGATCAAATGGTCACCAATTACCCTATAACAAAGATGAGAAGGTAAGGGGGCAGAGAAGCCAGGTTATTATAAATAGGACCAGTAGAATGGAATTAATGAAAATGTTGACACATTATATAAAAAATATATATCCATTGTCATAAAACAATTTGGGTAGAAACTGTTAAATGGGAATTTAATTTTCTGTGTAAATGCTCACCAAAAATGTAATAAAATATTATAGAATTAAAAAAATAGAAGACATGGCAAATTAGACATTTCCAGATAAAGATTCAGCGTTTACCTCTATGAAACTGTGACCTAGAAATACACTAAAGAATGTGTTCAGTTTGGACCCCTTCTTGAAATAATGGTTTTAAACCCATGAAACAAAAGGCAGGTTTATGAAGGAAATAAATTGTATAAAAATACAATTAGTTACTTAAAAAAATTTGCGATCTAAAAATCTACTTGCCTTTTTATTAATCCATTAAATAACAAAATCTGGCTATAAGTCTAATCTGAAGCTGTGATGAATGCAAATGATAATTACAAATACCTATAACAACTGGTATGTCATGAAAATATCTCATTTCTATTAATGACAAAATCACAGGTCTGACTAATACTGCTACATATTATTTGCTCAATTCATAAATGAAGGAAATGCGATCTTCAGTCATAGTTGGGTAAAAATAAAGATGTCATTTTCTTCCTACACACTGTCTAAATTCTAGTCATACGGAATGTTCATGAGTTCTAGATTAGAAACCTACGAGTTAGTGGATAATTGAACCCAGAGGTGATGCAAGAGGTGACAGCTAGCTAAAACAGTTAAAATGCTAGTTAATCTAAATATGCACTTACTGAAACAAGCAATACAAGTAATGGCTAAAGGGAGGGGAGATAACATCAAGATGGAATGAAAATACCAGAAAACACTACCATGGCACACAGGAAATGAACTTAAAACATTCTAAGGTTCTCATATATGGAGTCCTGGTGTGGCACTGTAAGATAAGCACCAGACCAGACGGTCAGTTTGAACTATAAGGTCAACAGTTCAAACTCACTAGTTACTCTGCCTCGAAAACCCTATACAGGGTCGTTATGAATCAGAACCGACTTGATGGTGCTTAACAAGGTTCTCATACTGCTTTGGGTGAAGGGTAGTGATACTGATAATCTTTAGATTTTGGGTCTAATAACGCATATTAAATATTTAAGGAAAACCACTACACAAAAAGATTAAGTAACACAAATCTCTTTGCTACAATGAAAATCTATTATTTTTCATTGGAGTGACTTACCTGAGATTCCAGAACCTCCAATTTACGCTTCCTGGCATGAAGAGCTTTACTTGGAAAAGCCCAGTAATAATTAGATGTTCCAATCCTCTCACAGTCAACCATACCATCATCCACTAAGCTTTGAAGGACTTCTTTTACAGACATGGCAGCTAAGAGATAAAATTTTAAGACTGTCTGTTAAGATCACCAGAAATAAAATTAAAAGGCAAAGAATTGGGGAAACACTTGCAATAAACATTACAGGTCAAGTTGTTTTTGTTAAATGCCAGCATTTAAAAAATAGGCATTATCTTCTTTTACTTCCTATATCAAGAAATTCATGCATGCTTTAGTGTTCATTTTAATTTTTGATAGAGCAGATCTATAAAATGTAACAAAAATATGTTAAAAATGTAAATATAGTAAAGAAGTTTTAAAATATATCACTTCTTAATCTATTACATTGCAAAGAATTCTAAAATTGAAAATACAAATATTTAAGAATTAAGTGTGAATATATATTGGCACAGCTTTTCTGGACAGGGTCCTTGGGTGGCACACATAGTTAATGTGCTCGGTTGCTAAACAAAAGGCTGGAAGTTCAAGTCAACTAGCAATGCCTAACAAGAAAGATCTGGTAACCTACTTCTGAAAAACAAGCCATCAAAAACCCGATGGAGCATCTCCAACAATTACAAACTGACCAACAGCGTGAACCTACAGTCACCAAAAGAAAAGATATAATAAAGATAAGAGCAGAAATAAATGA